AAGTCTTCCCACAGCGCTCTCCACTGGGGTTGCCTAGGACACAAAGATCAATGCTCTGAACAGTGGGACAAGCCGGAGAGCCGCTTGGTGGGCAACAGGAACACCCAAGAACTGTACAGGGAGAGTGCTGTAACTCAGGTTTGGTGGCCCTGATGTCTATCTCTGTGTCACTCTGGCCACATAGACTTTTCACTTTCTTCTTGAACAAAGGTACAATTGCACATAGCCAAAGGGAGCATACTGGTTCTGAACACAATTGGTCAGCAGCGAGGACTGGCTTCTCCATATTTATGGACATTAAGATAGAAAGTGACATTATGCTCAAACTGATGAAGGGCTGGCTTTGCAAGTCTTCCTTAGCCTAAACGTTCCTAAGAAATACAAATAATACCCCTGAGTACAACCTGAACTCTAGGCTAAAGTAAACATCTCTCCAACTACGTATCTATTGGGAGCAGACCTTAAAATGATCTCTACTGCAATTAGCTATTGAATAAAGAGTTTCTAACTGCCATCTCTACTGGAGATGTCAGATCATTATGTGTGCATGTCCTGTGCAGTCCTTGCACTGTTGCAGCTATTTAGTGGTAGCTCTTTGTTTTTGTTCGTAAGAAGAGTTGACTTTTAAAACCTTAGAGAACATAGTGAAATTTCTTCTGACTCCCCCAAAAGGCTACAGCATTGCCAAGTTAGCAAAAATTTTCTTCCTTCTAGAAAGCAGTAGTGATACCCATGGTAAGGAGAAGCTACACATTTACAAGTATTCTAAGTTACATAAAGCAAGCTTTTCGCTTGTAAGATGTTTGTATGAATAAGCATTAACCAAATGACTCAACCAGTATTTTCTATGCATCAGCATGACATAGTTTATGGGGAAAAAAAAAAGGAAACACATCACATCATTTGAACAAGCTCTGTTGCAGAATTTTTAAGACTTTTCCAGATTCAATGCAGTTGCTGTAGAGCCCAACAAGGTTTGAGGGGTTTAGTGACCCAGAGGAGGGTGCCAGTACAGATGGCAGCACCCCAGTGCTGACAGGGACATGGCTTGACAGGAACACACATACACCAACGCCAGAGCTGAAATTTCTTACTGTCCAATGTGTTAAGAGTTTAAAGAAATATACTCCTAATTTGGTGGACTTGTTGGATTCCTTTTACAAGACATACAACTGCACAATACTGATTAAGTATGGAAACAGAATAAAGGGATGGACCTAGTCTACTCAGTAGCCAGGACAAAGATGAATGATTGTGGGCTTTGCTATATACATTCTCACAAACTAACACTGACATAAATTATTTTATACCTAGGATGTCATGAACTTTTTGAGAGAAAATATCAGATTAATGGAATCAAGATAGTTCTTTATCACATAGTAAGAAAATATCAGGAGAAGCATTTCTAGGAAATAAAATGCAACAACCATCCTTATGTCAGAGCTTGTTCCCTCCTGTTTTGTGACAGGCCTAGCAATAGGCTTTTGTCTGAAGGTACTGCTGGAGCCTTCACTTTTTCTACGTCCATACCACCTCCTCACTTCTTTTTCCAAACATCACACTTTCTCCCTGCTCCAATGGAGATGAGTAGTGCAGTCAGGAACCCCACAGCATACTGTGGAGAGGAAGACACTATGCACACTGCAACTGTACTCTACCTTCTTCCAAAACCAACACCCTTCAGGGTCAAGAGGCACCTGACCCTCCTTCATCTCTGCTTTACCACTTCTTCCCTGTTCTGCCTTTTCCTAAGACATCAAGGAAATAGCATGCAAAATCCAAGTTAACAGGAACTGGCCTTAGCACTCACAATAAACACCACATTGTCTCTGGGCCAAGAGATTTTTATGTTACTGTAATTTAACAATTCCTGTAGGTCATCTGAGGAATAGCAATTAACAACATGCGGGTTCTTTCTCCAAGACACGAATAAAGCAAAATGCCTTACTTGAAAAATCTACTAAAAAAAAGTTGATTTTTCTGCAGGTTGTTGGTTACTGAGGTTTAAGCCATAAGCTTTAAATCCTCCTACCTGGCTAATGTCAGCAACATGAACTTTTACATACTGAATATACACCATGTTCAGACACAGGTTTGGAATTTAGGTTTTGAATTTAATTTTGGAGTTAAGTCATGTAGAACTCCTCACTTCTAAAAGGAGACATTTCCATGGTTTGCATGAATCGTTTGCATGGTTTCAATTGCTGACTGAAAGCTCCTCAGAAAACAAAACTTCATTACACTCCCACGTGTAAGAATTAATCTTCCTTTAAATCAGAAAAAGCATTTCTGGTAATTCGCTTCTAGCAGTGCTTTCCATGCTTTTATGACAACAACTTACCTGGGACTTGCTTTATAGCGTATGCGAATTTGCAGGAAAAGGACAAGGTGGAGAAGACCAGTGTCATAAATTTAGATCTCAAGAAGCTTTCTGAGACTTTCTATCAGTAAGTCAAACAAGACCAGATAACGATGACATGAGAGACAGGAGGAAGTTTTGCTTGTTTCAGCACTTAATTCCTGTGCCTATTACAGAAGTCCATAACAAGACAAGCACCACCATTCCTTCATGTGCATTGGACTGTATTTCCCTTTTCCTTGGCTCCAGCATACACTCTTGGTTCAGGTTCACTTTGGCCCTCTGCCATCCTACATCTCCTCTCCTCTGACTGGCAAGTATTCAACCACTTCTGAAATGACAGGCCTTTCTGGGTGAAAAACGTGTGAGCTTGACATCCCAGACACCATGGTGAGCCCCTGCTCAGGGATGACATTAAAAAAGCTTGATCAAATGAGAAGAGGAAATGCTATATTCTGCATAAGCAACAGAGCACCACTGCAGAAACTCCAGAGGACATGGCAGCTTGGATGCCTCAGGGAAAAGGAGCACGCGCTGTCATAAAGTCACCAAGAGATAAGTAATTGCCCAGCCTGTGTACATTACACAGCTGGAAGATACACTTCTGCTATAATCCCCGCTGCACGCATCCACAGAAACAGCACAATCACATATAAATAAGGTCACAACTTACAAAGCCACTTCTAGCTTTGGCCTCAAGGACTCTAATACAGGTGTTTGCAATGTCATCTGAAAAACCAGGTTTTTTTATAGCTTGCTCCAGTGCTTTCCATGTCCAACAGCTTCCCATGATCCTTCTTATCTTCCCAGATCTCCTCTGCTCCCACTGCTCTCTGATTAAAACTATGGAGTCTACTGCAAAGACAAAAAGCCTTCCGATATTCTGCTTCTAGATGCTAGCACCTCATCAGACCTTTTTCATGCATCAAGGGCAATCTTTTAGCTTTCCAGGGATTTGCTATGTCTTATCACTCTTATGTCCCTCAGACCACTTCCACCCAAAACATTCTAGCTAAGTGCCAGCGTTTTCACAACTCTGTAGCAGACCTAGGTCCAGAAGGTCCTGTCTTCCTTCGAACAGTTTCTAAAGAGATCACTGGTAAGGTACGATCAATGCAAGCGAGATCAAAAAGCCAAACTACCAAAGGCAAAACTTACTGCAATCAAAGTTGAACAAACACAGGTCAGCCTTTTGGGGAAAGCCTTTAACTGTTCACTTTTGCATTGTGATGATTCAGCTGGGGGAGCTAGAGGGCAATTTGTTCATAGGTTAATTGTAGCAGGGACTTAAAGGAAGAGTTGAAGGCTGAAACTGCAAGCAGAGCTTTCTGGCCTTATGCTAAACAACATGCACTGAATTTACTGTGTACATTCATAGCTAGAACTTTTTTTTGTCTTTTTAGACTGGATGGCAGATTTTAGAAATTATTTCCTGTATTTTTAGCCAATTAATCACAGAGTTTCAAAACTGAGAGCAATTTTGTTCTGTAATGTTCCCAAGTCTAAAATGTAATAGGTTAAAACATCTAAAGAACTTTGTGCAAGTCCCTCTGCAACAGTCTATGACTGCCCCAAACTGACGTGGGCAAGCTCTTGAAATTCAAAAGACAAGACAACTAGTAGAAAACTGACATTTAGTGCTCTAAATAATAAACCTAAAGCATTTTATTTTGTATTTGTGCCTAGAGCTTGATTACAAGCCTCTGCAGTAACTTAAGTCACCATTTAAAAATACTCCAAAAACAAATAAATCAGCAGTACAGAATACTTGACACCATTGACAGAAGTGCTATAACTAGAAAAGAAACTCTCAAAACATTACTCCCATATTCAGCAATCAGAGAAAGATTTAAAAGTGCAAATAAAGAGGTGGGAAGACAAAGATGTGCTAGTATATCTCATGGCTCCTCTCAGCTCTTAAACCACCCCAGGCCCCTGAAACACCCTGAACAACAAGAAAATTCTCAGAAGTATGCCTGGATGAGTTATTTCCAGATGTTGAGATAACTGCCACACAGGACTGTTCCCAGGAACTCTCTCTCTAATAAAGAAGCAGATAGGAACGTGTGGCAAAGAATACAACAGCAGTTTTGTGTGATTAGAGGCTTCCTAATTGTGCATGAATCCTTCATTAATTAGTTATGCCAGTTTCAAGGATACTTTAGTGAAAAATAGCAACGAAGTGTTTTAATGTATTTATGTCTCTAAGTAATTTACATCCGTTTATTACAGAGGCTCACCATTTGGAAAAAAACCCATTTCTCTTGCCTGTTGTCACCTCTACATGTCTATGACTCATAATAAAAAACCTACTAGCGAAAGAAATGTGTGTTCGAGTATTTAAGAGAAAGACAGAAAAAGCTGTTTTTCAATTTGCCTGTCCTGCAATGTAATATATCCCTGCACATTTTTCAAAGGAAATCACCCCATTCTACGAGATCAGAACCCAAACTTGTCACTGGCAAGAATCCAAGCAGAAGAACAAGGAGGTCACCGACTGAAAGGCACAGTGTAGATAAAACCATTATGTCCAAAAGTTGCTGACAGCCTGAATGAGTTAAACAAGAGATAATTAAGTTCAGGTTTGCAATTGCAAGTTCCCTTGTGTACTTCTGTGACTGCTCAGCAGGATGGCAGAGGCTTAACAAACCTCAGACCCTATCCCACTTCATTTACATGCCATGCACCACAGCCACCTTTGGCTTCTTCATTGACCTCACTGACCTGCTTTACAATAGAGCACTTCTTTTCACTATCTATTTAACTTCAGAAACACTGTAGATGTACCTTAGCAATGTAAAGATGTCACCTAGCACTAAGTGAAACAAACATTTTGCAAAAATCTCTTGTGGTATCATTGTTTTTAAAGGTGCAGGACAAGACAGTAAACATTACTGTGTAACCTGCAGCCTCTAAACCCAGGAATAGCAGCTGTGTTAAATTAAGCCTTTCAAAATACACAAGCATTTTCATTTAACTGTTGAATAATTTCGTTTAGAATCTCTTATGCTACTGAGGAAAAGCCAATCAAGTTACTTTGTTAGTTTTTGTTTCTCCACTGTCTAAACAAGTCAGTCAAGAAGTACTGCAGATGTACGTAGTTTTGAAAGAACCTGAAAGTTTCTACCCTTCCCCTCTTTTCCTTCCCCCATGCAGTGAAGGACTATTTTTACCTCCAACCCAGAGGCTGGGGTTTATTGCCTCTTACCATACACTATTTCACCACTTCAGTTGACTTCTTTGACTTTTGCAAGCCTCTTCTTAAAAACAAGCTCTTTGTTATAAATAATTTTTAAATAGATATCATATTGGAATAAAATTACTATTAAAAAAAAGGAACTACCTGGGCAGTTTAAGTTTAACTGCAGTTCTTTGTATGAGCAACTGCTTGTCTTGTCTTTACATGAGGTTTACATGAGGGGTTTTAGTTGCAACAAATAACTTTTCTATCTATCTGTAAGAAAAAAATGGATAGAATCCATCAGTTCTAAGCATTATGTATAGATGTGTAGAGAAATAATTGTTTTAACATTTTTGTCACATAATGCTGTGTTCTGTCCTGAGAGCCCATCCGTTCATGGTGCTCTATTATTTTCACTGGTTTCAAATATTTTGAAATATTCCCGCGCTTTTTATCCATACTGGTCTCGGTCAGAGCAGAGAAGAAAGTTCAGGAAGTTTTCTATGCATAGTATAGGGACAGAATGAAGAGCAACTGCATGCAAGGGGGACAAGAACAGAGCCCAGAGCAATTTATGCATATTCATGGTAACTCATTGTGAAGCGTTCTCCTTTTCAGTAAGTATCAAACACTTGGAAGTTGGATAAGTGCATCCAGATACATCTCCCAAGCATGGAGAGAAGTTATGTCAAATGCAGGAGCCGGAAAAATGGACTCGGCCAAAAATAGCTTTGTTCCCCTGAAACTCAATTTTTCAACAAATCTGCAAAGAGGGTGAACCCATCGGCAAGACGACTGTGGTTCAGTTACTTTAGGGCGACTTCTACGAAGTAAAAGCTTTGCAGAAGAAAAGACGATTTAGACACGTACTTCCAGCCCCCATCTCTGAGCTAATTACATTCATCCTCTGGTCTGAAAGCAAAACTCTCTTTCTGCAAAGAAGTGTAAGAGCCAGACCGACAACCTCACAGGGCTTGTGAACTGGGCTGACAAGTGTGAAAGAAACCCGTGGGAACGGTGTCCCACGCGACATCTCTAAATCGAATTTTGATGCATTTCTTTCTGTCTAAAGAAAAAAAAAAGGTACCAGAGTTGCTGTTCTTCAACAATAGCGCCGATCCCTTGCCGATCCCACCCTTCAGTGAGAGGTAAAGGTCAATTTAATCCGAAAAGCACCCAGGAGAAACCGCCCGCAGCCCTGAAGGCAGCGGCAGAGGGACTGCAGAGCGCCTAGCGCAGGAGCGCACGGCCCGGCGCCCACCCCGGCCCCTCTGCGGCCCAGCCCCAG